CATTGTGCGGAGGAATGTTCCACATAAACAAGCTTCCTTATGTGGCCTTCCCATTGTTTCACTCACAAAAGAACCTTTAAACGTGATGAGCAGCATTAATATGAATTATATGTTTGTCTTGCGCAACGAGACCGGATAATGTCGAAGATTTTTTTGCAGGAAGCGGATCTGTCAAAATGGATTGACTTTATCAAGAGTTTATCTCCGACTTATCCTATAAATCGGGCTCGACTTGAGTGGAACAAACTTGTCATGCTAATGTCAAAAAACATCAGGATTACTTTGCCAAAACTTTTGAAAAAAAATCCTGTCCCAGCGCAGCATTAAGACTTTCAAATAATTCTTACACTTGTTTGTATGCTTCAAAGTTACTAAAAGTGGTGTTCGACAGCCCTTTTAAGTGTTCTTACAACTCAAAAGAAGTCTTTCATACAGTATTTAGCCCTGCTTTGTAAACCTTTTCACGGCAAGTCGATGGCGTGTAGAGTGGGAAGTTGGCGTTTTCTTGATTTGAACGAAACAAATTACTCGAATGGAAAGTTATCTCGAGACTGGAGAACTCCACGCTAACTCAATGTTCGCAGTGCTATGTCCAAATTTGAAATCCATGCAATCAGTTGGTTTTGGAGCCCAAACATGCCACCTTAAACGGGGATTTTTGTAACTTTAAAGGCAGATTTATTATGAAGCGATAGATTTATGGTGGCCAAAAGGTCAGGAAGACTAATGAGGAAAGTGCGCACTATAAGTAATTTTATATTGAAAGCAAAGTTTGGACTCTGCTTCCCTCCATGTGGGGAGTTATTCGTGGAGGGTAGCAAGTTGATTGGTTGAACACGTCCACGTTGTAGGTCATTCAAGCCGAGGGCGAGCGAAAGGCGTCACGAGCTCTACGTGAGGCGAGTTTGATGCTCAATGATAAGCCAGTTGCTTTGCAACTGCGGTACCTTCAAACCCTCTCGGGGATCGCCGCTGAGCACCACTCGACTATCATCTTTCCCCTACCCATTGATTTAACTACCAGCTTCCTAATGAGCAACCCTGCGCAATCGATGAAGGGCGGAGTCGGCGTTCATCCCGGGGTTAACGGAACCCACACCACCGCCGTCGCCACCGCCACAACTAGTACCGCCACTACGGCCACCACCGTGTCCAGCGGCAACAACAACAGCTCTGACCTGAATGTATAGCTAAGAATGTGTACATTCCTCTCGCCTCCCTCTTTTTCTTCCCTTTCAACTCTGTGTTGTCTGTCAAAAACGTGTCACTTCAGCTTAATGCATTTAAGTATGCAATCTGGTAATGGAAAACTTAACTAAAATAGTATTCTGTCAAATTGGTTTCCTTCGTTTTGGAACCGAATGTTAAGTTATTTTGAACTCCTTTGATTTTGTTGCAATGTACGCTCATTGGTCTCGTCAAACAACGATGTATACTTCATCATCGGTTTATTTTGATCGAGATAGCATCGAGAGAAGAGGTAATGCTGCCCATTCCATTTTGACTAATTACCCCAAGCAACTGTGAGTTTGCAAAAAATGGTTGATGGATCCCTACTTGGCACGTTTTGTAATTCGTCTCCAATTTTCTCTTGGAAATATCCACTGCCTCGTCCAACTCCTTTCTAGAAAAACAACAACAAGTTGCTCATTTTTATCAACTTAACAATTTCTCAATTTGAAGGTTGACGAAATCATACTTGTTTACCATTCAATCACAAAGTATTGTTCGTGGTTTTTTTCATTGCATTTTCCTCTTCCAAACGGCAGGCGTGTGTAGTGAAGCAGGGCAAAGGTACATATTTCAATATCACTCCTTGGGGTGGGCTCAAAATCGCACAACAACAGTCACCAACGTCAAGATAAGATTTAACGTGACACGCACGTTCTCCGCAAACAGCAAGAACAACAACAGCCTTTTCGGTAGGAATTATTTCCAATTCAAAAGTACGGCATGGTTTTTGTGTTGCGTAATGCTGCCGCTCTACCGTGTCATCCTCACTCCGCTTCCTCCTGCAGACTCGCCAAAAGCTTTGGTGTTCCGCTGTCAGCATCAGGTGACCGTCACCGCCCTCTGGAATGGTCAAGAGTCACTAAAAGAAGAGCGAGCACATTGAAAAGTGTGATTAAGCAGAATTCTTTGAGTGCAAGTAATTTGCTGGCAAGTAACTTCAAATGAATGAAGCAGGCTTTCGCCAGCGATGGTGTCCCAGTAATTATAGTCTCCTAGAAGAATGGAAAAGAAAATATCCAATGTGGTAAATGATGGTAGAATTTGCAAGTGAGTGGAAAGATTAACCACTTTTAATAAGAGCTTTCCATACTCTTTTTCACGCAAAGGAAAGACCTTATTTCCAATAAGAAAGTGAAACCTCTTTTTGGCATCATTTTGAGTCCTACTAAGGAAAATTTTGAACTAATCTGAGCTTTCTGCCCTTTACTTCGGAAAAGGAACGTGGAATGGGGACTAGAGTTGCGACTTAAAATTTGGAACCTGGGCAGCAACAAGAGCAGAAGTCTAAAAATGTTTAAAATCCTTCCAACTCTCCTCCTCTCAACTTTGCATTGGGGTTACGAAAATGAAAATGATTGCAAATTGTCCCAGGGCTATTCCAGAACTGACAATGGGCGATACAAAACTGTTTATCCACTGACGCCTTCAATCTACCTCAGGAGTTACGCAATTGCCTAGGCCTAACCATCTCCATCACTCGGTTCAAAGTTTGAGCGCATTGGCGTTAAAATAAGGCACAAAGTAGCCATTTCGTTCCCACTACATCAAAAGTGAAATGAAAGGGCATCAGCTATCCGCATCAAACGCAAATGCTGACAGGATGTGTGTAGATGTTTTCGTGCGAAATGCCTTAATGATTTATTCTTTCTTAGTTTGACAAATGACTTGACTCCAATTTCCATTCCGCATCATTGCAACATACTCCATTCCTACTTCTTCACCATACGCCTAACTGAAATAGCACAAATTTCGAAAAATTCAC